CTCACTATCTATCTGCCATCCTCACCTGCACGGGAGGCTCATTACCGCGGGGCCGCCAAGAGGTTCCCCGCCCTGGGCAGGCCCCTGCTGGGGGGGGCCGCTCCCCGCCCCCGGCCCCCCTCTAACCTGGGGAGGGGCCCGGCACCCCTCTCTCCGCCCGAGGGCAGGGCCGCCGCCGGTCCGGCCCAGACCCAGACCCGCAGCCTCCGCGCTGCTACCGCCCTGGGGCCTAGTACGGAAGCCGGGAAGCTCTCGGCCCGCCGGGTCCCCCCTCCCCCCCCCCCCCAGCACCGCCCCCCCCCCGCGCGTTCCCCCCGCCCCCTGCACGCCTCTCCCCCTCTCTGGTCTCCCTCAGGACTCTTTTACCTGTACCTTCTCTCCGGTCACCGGCCAAGGAACCCCGCCCCCTCTGAGCACGCATGCGCAGCGCCCGCGCCCGGAGGCTTCCGCTTTCTCTTCCTCCTCTCTTCTCCCTCCTCCTCCCTCGGCGGCTACAACCTCGCCCCCATTTAAAGGGCCAGGCGCCTTATTCCCTCTCATCAGGTAAGATCCTAGACCCAGAGCTCAGAGGTCCTCAGAGGCAAAACCCTCATCTTCCAAAGGGTGAAACTGAGGCTCAGGAAGATGAAGTGACTCTAAACACAGTCTGAGAAATAATGATAGCTTGCGTGTTTGTGTATTGCTGTGTGTCTGTACATATATTATAAAATATGGATATACGCATACAAATATACACGCACACGTGCATGCTTGTAGGCACTCGTGTGTATACACATGTGTTGTGTGCATCTGTAGACACTTGTGCATGCCTGAACATATATGTGCATCTGTGAGGTGTGCATAATATACATATGTGTGTGTGTGTCTGTGTGAACATATTCATATGTGCTTCGTTTGCATTTTGAGAAGCATCACGATGAATGTGTTCTGGGAGTCGAGAAGAGCTGGGTTCAACTCCCACTGCAGACACCTCTTAGTAGTAGGACCCGGGGCAAGTCACTTCATACACACCCCCCCAACCCACTGTGCCTCGGTTTCTTGATCTTTAAGTGAAGGGACTGTTTGGGATGGCCTCCTGGGTCCCTTCCAGCTCTAAATCTATGACCCTCTTGCCAAGGGCTTTGCTAGGTTCTCATTGGATGTACATACACGACCTCTTGACAGCAAAGGGGAGGGAGAGGCAGTAGACAGTTGGTGGGTCTGATGAGCCCAGGAGTCCAAGGGGTGGCAGCAGGGGCCCAGCCTGGGGGCAGGAACCCAGGTATTCTGGCTCCAGAATCCAGAACCCGTCCGAGGTCTGATGCTTCATTTCAGTCTTTGTATCACAAACAGCATCAACACTTGATTCTGATTGATTGATTGATTGATTGATTGATCATGTAAACTTACCTTTCCCTGGGAGTGTCCGGGCAGAGGCCCCCGGTAAGTCAGAATGCTTTTCAAATCATCATATACAGGAAGCAATCAACTCTACTCATATATGGCATAGAGAAAAGAGTATCAGATTTGAAGGCAGATTTGAGTTCTGACACTCACCAGCTGTGTGACTTGGCAGGCCAGCCACTCAGAGCCTCAGTTTCCATAAATATGAAGCCCTGGAAAGAAAATAAAAGCTTTCCCTCTTGTTTCTCCAGTTTCCACCTGGAACAGATCTTTTACAGAGTAGAATTGTAGGAGCCTAGATCTAGGGCCAGAAAGGAACTCAAAAGTCAGTCAGTGTACTCCACCCCCACCCCCATTTTACAGAGGAGACTACCAAGGCCAGAAAAGTTGGAGCAAGGTCACACAGGTTGTAAGTGACTGAGCTAGGATTCGAACTCATGCCCATCGGGTAAAAGCAGGTTCAGCACTCTCTACTGTACCTCAGTGCCTATCTAGGGTGGGAGGCTAGTGCCTAGAACTTAAAGTAATGGGGAATGTCATTGTCCTGTTGAGTGGGGCTCTTGAAAAAGACAGGCTGGTCAGCTCGACAGGAGGACCAATCATTACTCATCAGCGTGTACTATGTGCCTCTGCTATGCCAAGTACTGGGCTGGGCACAGGGGATGTAAAGACAATGAAGCCATCCTGGCCTTCAGGGAGTTTACATTCCAACAGAGGAGATATATAAGTAGATATAAAAATAAGTACAAAATCAATATAAGGAGGGGCAAAGATAGGGGAATAGAGGAGGGAACTCAGCTGAACTCTCCCAACATTCCCCTCCAAATAACTTTAAAATGATGCCTCAAATAAAATATTAGAACAGCAGAGCCAACAGAAGGTCAGAGGGAGACATTTTTCCAGCCTAAGACAACTTCAGAGCTCTTGGAGGGGAATTCTGCACCGCTGGGATGGATGCAGGTTCAGGGTGAGGCAGCAGCACCATGACAGTAGTAGAATCACCAGCTTTGAAAGCATCTTTCTAGAGATGGAAAGGGGGTTGGACAACTGGTCAGAAAGAGATTATGGGGCCCTTTGCTGGCACTGGGTGTAGCTGGCGCTGGTTGGCAGCTCTATTGCCCACAAGCAGTTCTGGGTCATAGTTCCAGGGAGGGAAGGAGCACTTGTGATCAGTCACAAAGGAGCAGGGATCTTGGTCACAGTTCCAGGGTCAAGAGGAGCATTAGTACTTGTGGCTGCAGGGGACCAGGGTCCTTCCTAGGTAAAGACCAAAGCACAGGAGCAGAGACCACACCTCTCCTTGAATCACACCACCTTAGAAACACCAAAAACTCACAGACCCCCAGAACTAGCTCTGAAAACAGGAGCACAACAAAGCCTGAAGCTTGGGACAATGTCTCCCCCACCAACTTTAACATAAAGTTAAAAGTCAAGAAATAGGCTGGGAAAATGAGCAAACAACAAAAACAGAACTTGACCATAGAAAGCTATTATGGTGGCAGTGAAGACCAAGACATAAACTCAGAAGAAGACAGTAATGAAAAAAATAGTTACAACCAAAGCCTCAAAGAAAAATGCCAGTTGGGATCCAAGCTTAACAAGAATTCTTGAAAGAATTAAAGAAAGATAAGAATAGTAGAGGGGGAAAAAATGAGAAAAGAAATGAGAGTGATTCAAGAAAATTATGAAAAAAGCTTAGCAAAAGAAGCACAAAAATACTGAAGAAAATAACACCTTAAAAAAGAGTTGGCTAATGGTTAAAAAAAAAAGGCATACAAATTCACTGAAAAAAAAAAAACTTCTCAAAAGGCAGAACTGGCCAAATAGAAAAAGAGGTACAAAAGCTCACTGAAGAAAATAATTCCTTAAAAATTAGAATTGAGCAGGTGGAAACTAATGATTCCATGAGACTTCAAGAAACAATAAAATGAAGTCAAAGAATGAAAAATTAGAAGAAAATGTGACATTTCTCATTGGAAAAACAACTGACCTGGAAAATAGATCAAAGAGAGATAAATCAAGAATTATTGGACTACCTGAAAGCCATGATCACACATTAAAAAAAGAGTTTAGACATCATGTTTCAAGAAATTATCAAGAAAAACTTCTCTGATATCTTAGATCCAGAGGGTAAAATAGAAATGGAAAGAATCTACTAATCACCTCCTAAAAGAGATCCCACAATGAAAACCCCGAAAAATATAATAACCAAATTCCAAAGCTTCCACATCAAGGAGAAAATGTTGCAAGCATTCAGAAAGAAATAATTCAAATATCATGGAGCCGCTGTTAGGATCACACGAGTATTAACAGCTTCCATGTTAAATGATCAGAGCGCTTGGAATATCATATTCCTGAGCGCAAAAGACCTAGGATTACAACCAAGAATCACCTACCCAGAAAAACTGAGTATAATTCTTCAGGAGGAAAAATGAATATTTAGTGAAATAGAAGACTTCCAAGCATTCCTGATGAAAAGACCAGAGCTGAATAGAAAACCTGATATTCAAACACAGGACTCAAGAAGAGCATAAAAAGGTAAATATGACAGAAAAATCATAAGGATTCAATAAGGTTAGACTGTTTACATTCCTATATGGGAAGATGATACACTGTAACTCGTAAGAACTCTATTATTATTAGGGCAGTTAGAAGGAGTCTGCATAGACAGAGGACAAGGGCATGAGTCGATCATGTTGGGATGATCTCTAAAAGGTGAGAAAGAGAGATGCACTAAAGAAGGGAGAAGGGAGAGGTAGAATGGGGCAGATTTTCTCACATAAAGGAGTCATGCAAGGAAGAGCTTTTAGAGTGGAAGGGAAAATGAGGACAGTGGCAAGCAGTGCTTGAATCTCACTCTTAATGGAATTGGTTCAAAGAAGGAACATATATATATGTATATATATATACACATATATATACATATGTATATGTATATATATACACACACATATATATATGTATATACACACTCAGTAGGGTATACAAACCTAAAAATAGACCTAATTGAAAGAGATAATCAGGGAAACTACGTTTTGCTAAAAAGGTGCCATAGACAAAAAAGTAATATAAAAAAAAATTTACAGCAAATTTCTCTGATAAAGGCCTCATTTCTCAAATATTTAGGGAACTGTCAAATTTATAAGAATAAGAGCCATTACCCAGTTGATTGTCAGAGGATATGAACAATCAGTTTCAGAAGAAGAAATCAAAATTATCTATAATCATATGAAAAATTCTTTAAATGGCTATTGATTAAAGAAAGACAAAATAAAACAACTCTGAGATACCGTGTGACAGAGTACTATTGTTCCACAAAAAGTGACAAGGGAAGAGGTTTCAGAAAAAGCATGGCGAGACTTATATGAACTGGTAAGGGAATAATGTACGATAAGTTCAGTAAGGTCAAGTTGATGGGAAGACTTATATGAATGCATGCAAAGTGAATTGAGCAGAACCAGGGCAACATTGTACACAGTCAGCAACATCCTGACAGTGATCAATTGTGAAAGACTTTGGCTGTTCCGATTAAGACAATGATTCGAGACAATTTCAAAGGATTCATGATGAAAAATGCTACCCGTCTCCAGAGAAAGAATGGATGACTCTAGCTCTATGCCTCTTGGCAGCAGGAAGCAGTTTCAGAAGCCAAGACCTTCATCCTTTACCCCAAAAGAATTTAGGTCCCATTTGTTTGAGGAGGGAATGATGGGGATGGGATCTGAACCCCTAAAAGGAAAAGACCCTATCTTGGGGATCTGGACCCCAAAAAGGAAAAACCCTGGACTTTCCCACCTGGCCAAATCTCTGGTGCTCACCTGAGGCTATAATTCTATCAACTGGCCTTTCATTGTGACTATGCCCAATCTCCAATTGCGTTCTGTTACCCCCCAATTGCCTCTGGCCACTTCCCACCCTTAATCCTATCTAGACTCCATTCTCCCTTGGACATGTGGTCCAGGTTCCTGGTCTTCTGTTCACCCCAGTTTACTGGCCACTCTCATCCAGATCCTCCTTAGACCTCTCCTCCAGTCACCCTAG